TTCTACACTCAGGTGCCTTGGAGAATAGTTTGACTCCCTCTTCTGTGTGGCAACACCTGAGATATTGGAAGACTGCTATTATGTCTCCCTAAGTTCTTCTTTTCATTAAACTAGACATACCCAGTTCCTGCAACCGTTCTTCATATGTTTTAGCCTCCAGTCCCCTAATCATCTTTGTTGCTCTTCTCTGCACTCTTCAATCAGAAAAGTTCTACCTAGGATTAAATCTGGAATTCCCCATTGAAGAGGCAACGGGAGAATATGGGATATGTTCTCACTTGATAGAGCTTGGCCACTTGCATCCAGTCCGACGGGAGTTGTACCGCATGGCAAAAATAGCGCCGCACATGTGGGCGGCAGGGCGGAAGGTAGGAAGCCAATGCCAGGAGGAAATTAGTCGTACTGCGGATGTTCAGTTCTTGGCGGGCATACAAGGCAACCTGAGCGGAGAGAAAGAGATCATAGAGGTGAGCAAAAACCTCTCCTAATATTATTAGGAAGGCTGGGAATCTTAATACTTAATAACACCAGTTTGTTCGTGGTTAAATATTTAGTTTGTGAGCAAAATTTGGGTAGCCCTGCTCAAATTACATTCCGAAGAATTCCTATATAAACAGCCGCAGGCAAACCCACAATGTGATACGAGGTTAAACCACAACATAATTCCAAAAGTTGGAATGCATCATCTTGCTACTTATTTGCAGACGTTTACAAATTCAAAAGAAGAAAGCGGTACTATGACAGATGCAAAAGCTTGGACGTCCTTCCAGTCAGAACTTTATAATAATTCTGTTTTGCAGAAATAAAGAGTTTGCAAATATTCTCTGCAGTCTGCTAAGAGTTTTTATATTCTGGTGTTTGAAATACTTCCCTACTCTTCCTTGCAGGAAGGGACTGTGAGGTGGCTCGGTGGTTAAGACGCTGGGATTGTTGGCTAGAAAGCTGGAAAGCCACGGTTCGAGACCCGGGTGCCACATGACGGTGTGAGCTCCCATCCTCGCCCTAATGCCTGCCAAACTAGCAGTTTGACAGCTTGCAAATGCAAGTACGTAAATAGGTACCACTTCGGAGCGAAGATAACAGTGCTCCGTGATGTCATGCTGGCCACATGGCCGTGGAAATGTCTTCAGGCAGCACTAGCTCAATGACCTTGGAACGGAGGTGAGCATTGCTCCCTAAAGTCAGCAAGAACTAGCGGAGTAAAAACCTTCTAGTTCAAAAATATCCTTGCATATGCTGCATGTTTTAAATCATCCATAGTACTCAACTGCAGGGATTGGAAGAGCCATTCTCAGGCTTTTATCTGAAAATCATGACGTTGGAGCGCGGTGGCTCAGCGTGGCACAACAAAACCGCGCTCGACTAAGCCACGCCCGATTAAACCGCGTCGCTGACGTCATCAACAGCCAGCGTGGAGAAAGAAGAGCGCTTTAAATAGCGTTTTGAAAGCAAGCCAATTCAACTTAAGGTAAGGGTTAGGTTTAGGGTTAGGTTTAGGGTTAGGTTTA